ACAACACACACACACACACACATAAACACAACACACACATAAACACAACACACACACACACACACACACACAGACAAAAACACACACCCATATACACACACACACACACAGACACACACGCACATTATGACAGCTGGCTGAAACAATCGATGTGCTGGCAGCTATAAATAATTTAGACTCCATCGTCCATCAACACGATGAGCTGCTCCATGAGGAGGAGGAGGAGGAGGAGGAGGAGGAAGAAGAGGAGAGCACAGTAGGAGGAAAGGTAGAAAGAGGAAAGGAGAGGAGAGAAGAGGAGAAGAGGAGAGGAGGAGGAGAAGAAATGAGTAGAAGAGTAGAGGAGGAGGAGAAGAGAGGAAAGGAGAGAAGAGGAGAAGAAATGAGTAGAAGAGTAGAGGAGGAGAGAGGAAAGGAGAGAAGAGGAGAAGACATGAGGAGAAGAGTAGAGGAGAAGAGAGGAAAGGAGAGAAGAGGAGAAGTCGAGAGGGGGAAAGAGGAGAAGGATTAGAGGATAAAAGAGGAGCGAGAAGAGAGGAGGAAACAGGGAGGAGAGTAAAGGAGGGAGGAGAAGGAAACCGGAAGGAGAGTAGAGGCGGAGAGGTGTGAGCCACGTTTCCCTATGTTCCCTGAACGCATCACCAGGTGGCGCCTCCTGGTACCTGCAGCCCGCTGACCGCCTGCAGACCGGACGGACGCGCACAGAGCCGCGTGCACAGACACACACGCACGAACACCAGCCTCCCTTAACCCGCTGCGCACCTCCTCCCCCTGATCTCCATCTTCACTTCTCCTCCTAACGCGGAAAAAGATCGCTACACGTCTCCTCCTCCTCCTCCTCCTCCTCCTCACGTGGTCGCGTTCGTTTTTACTGACCTGCAGCTTCCGATATGAGACAGAGAGATCCGACCGGTCCGCTGCTCGAGCTGCATGTGATGTGCGCGTTCTGTATCCTCCCCCTCTCCTCCCTCCTCCCTCCTCCCTCTCTCCCTCTCTCCCTCCCTCCTCCCTCTCGCCGCCTCACTCCTCGCTGACAGAAGGAAGAGAGGGAGCATATGGAGACACAACAGGTCTCTGTGAATGAGGAAACACCTACTTTATTATTCTCTGATTTAAGCTCCTCTTCCTTTTATGAGAAGCATTTCATACAAATAAGATTTGCAGTTTAAAAGATAAAAGTGAAAAAGATAAAGAGCGTCTGCTGCCCTAATGAGTAAAAATCATCCCGTCTTTGTCCCGCCTCTCCTCTGCTCTGATTGGCCAAAAGCGACATGGACTAGTACGTACATCTATTCCTATATATACATGTATGTATCTATGTATATCTATATAAATATAGAGATATATATATAGAGACAGTCTGCTATTGTCTGCGGTGTTTTAATGCTAAAGATTCAGAGGTTCTGGTTCCCATTAAAAGCCACAAATAAGCATCAATAAGGTGATTGGCCCCCACGGACGTCACGTGGTCAGGTGGACATGAATTAATGCGAGAGAAACCAGCTCATTATTAATAATAAAACACTGGAGGTGCGTTCAGGTGTCACCTGATGTCACCTGAAGTCACGCTAATGCACTCATTGTTAAAGAGTCATCAGCAGCCTCATTTGTCTCTGAGCAAACACACACACACACACACTGATCAAACACACAGGCAGATGCTGCTGGAGGCACGGCAACATCACACAAACACACACAAACAGCACTTTGCTGCACCTCTCAGCTCCTCCTCCAGCGTTCAGGAGGAACATCTGAGCAGGAAAGAGATGCTGAAGCTGTGAGTGAGTGTACATGTGCGTGAGAGGCCTCTCTCCAGCTCGTCCAATGCCAGTGACCCCCCCCCCCGCTGGGGGTCTGACTCGGGTCGCCCCCCCCGCTGGGGGTCTGACTCGGATCACCCCCCCGCTGGGGGTCTGACTCGGGTCGCCCCTCCTGCTGAGGGTCTGACTCGGATCACCCCCCTGCTGGGGGTCTGACTCGGGTCGCCTGGTCAGTGGTTGAGTGGTGTAAATATGAAGGAACAGCACTTTGCAGTCACGTCGCCATGACAACGTCTAAACTATGATTTAATACTTTTCACTGATTTCAACGTCTCAGGATCTTTACTCATAAGACAACATTTTAAATGTTTCATCAAAAATACCTTGAATGACAAACATTTAATGAACAAATGAACAACATGGATTGATCTTTTCATTTTTCAAATGGGTACATTTTGTGTCATCAAGCAGCAGCTGATGGAACAGAGACATTTGATCCATGTGCTGTTTGTTCAGGAGCAGCAGATGTTCAGCTCAGGGAGAAGCGGTGGACAAACACACTAAATACTGAACCAATGAGCTGAATGATGAACACCTGAGAGGAAGCAGGTGAAGAATGTTTTAATGATACTAAACTCAATGTGTGGAACTACTGGAAGAAGATTCTGGAATATAAAGGAAGGATTAAAAGACAACTAAGATAAAATCATATGAGCTGTAGAGAAAGCAGATGAAGAGCAGGATTCATTGGTCAGATCCTCTCACTATGCAGACAAATATCCTCAATTAAAGCATGACGTCCACCGGAATTGTCCGGTTGGAACAGCTCGCATTGCCCCAAACCGATCAAACCGATCAAACCGATCTAACCGATCAAACCGATCAAACGATCCAACCGATCAAACCGATCAAACCGATCAAACCGATCACTTGTGGGATTTCTGGGGAGCTAAACAGTCGCGCAAAATCTAACCGTTCCTGTGAGTGGGCAGTGATACGAAACGCTCGGGTCAATGTGAACAGGTGCTTTACGTTATCGCCCAATAATGTGCCCCCATGACTCACTCTCGACCAATCAGAACGCTGGATTAACAAAGATCACAAGTCAAAGCGTATTAATAAAGAGACCCATTTTAATATCAAAACAATCATCTATCTTACACAAAAACAGTATATTACAGCAGTGGGAGTTGTGTGTTTTTATCTGGGTATAAGAGGACCTCCTCCTCCTCCTCCACCTCCTCCTCCTCGTGTGGTTCAGGAGTCGTTGGGGAGGCCGAACAGCTTCACTGTGCCGGCCTCGCGGTTGTTGTCGTACTTTCCCTCCTTGTCGTCGCAGGCGTAGGCCAGCAGAGGCCTCTTGGGGTGCCAGGCCACCGTGAAGGTGGGCGAGTCGCACTGCACCTCCCACAGCTTCTCTCCTGCAGGAGGCGCACAGACACGCGGTCACGAGGTTTCACAGGTTACGGCAGCGGTTCTCAAACTTCAGCCCCCCCCCTCCTACAAATAATAAAATATTTCCACATTTAACAGGTTTTTCAATCCCCTTTTTATTAGAGGGGTTATGGTTCACGGAGTTTTATTCTAGAAAAAAACTTTCTTAATGAGTCTCAAATGAGAGAAGAGAAAAAAGTCGCTTCCATTTTTAAATAGTGTATCAGACTTTGAAAAAGATAGTAAGCGCCATAAAATAAACGTCCATCTGACCCTGTAAAGACCTAAAGACCTTCTCTCTCTCTCATGGTCAGTGTGGACATCCATTAAAAACGAGGTAAATGAACACAGAGACACGAAGGTCTCCGTCCCTCACTGACCCGTCTCCACCTCGGCGATGTCAATGAAGTGGTCCTCCGAGGCCGAGGCCAGCATCTTCCCATCGTGGCTGAAGCTCAGCGTCCTCACCGGCCAGTCCAGCCTGCAGAAGAGTCAACGGTGATGTCATGAGTACAAGAAGGGGGAGGAGTCCGTATTTCACTACGAGTACAGCTAAACATTTCAGGTAACTACACGTCAATACGTGAACACCAACTGAATGTTTTCCAACTAAAGCATCTTTCATCTTCTCAGAAAAACATTTTTAGCTACTCAAACAGAATGACATTCGATAGGAGGGTTGAACTGTGAACCGGGACACAAACCTGGAGAAGCAGCGGACGCACACCAGCTCCTCCACGTTCCACAGGCTGACCAGCGCGTCTGCGCTTCCTGTTGCAAAGTACTTCCCCGTCGGGTCGAACTTGATGCAGATGCAGTTAGACGGGTGAGCGTTGATGGACTGGATGGGCTTCAGCTCCGGGTAGCTGGAGACACGACACACAACACGACGCTGATGACGTAATGACCTCAGGCATGAGGGCGCTTACCATTTCTGCATGTCAGAGATTTCCACAACAATTACTGAGCAGAAACATTTTAAAGGTTGAGGAGGAAACGGATGGCTGACCGGTGACGGTTTCCATGGAGACAAAGGGGTCCTACCAGTGCGTGTTAGAATGAATACATGGAAGAACGAGGCAACCCTATCCCAGGATGACTTATTGACTCCTTGGAAGAACTGGACATTCTCCTGTCCAACTTCCCTGAAGATGTCCCTCCGCTCGTCCTCCTCCGTGACTTCAACATCCAGACAGAGACGTCATCTGACCTCTGACACCTACTTTCTTCTTTGGCTCTGTCACTCAGTCCCTCTCCTCCTACTCACGAAGCCGGCAATCACCTCGACTACATCTTCACTAGAAGCTGCTCCACCACCAACCTGTATGGGGTCCAGCTCACATCCAGGACCTGGTCCAACCCGACATCCCGACCTCTGACCTCTCCGCTCTGCATGTGATAAACTGCTTGTTCCTCCTCACTGAGAGCAAAACACTCGACTAGATCTCCACTCTCTGCTGTCCTGCTCCTAAATGGTGGAAGGAGGTCTCTGAAGACATCAGGACCACAGAGAGCCTTCACATCTTCAGACTAAAGACACACCTCTTCAGACTCTACCTCCACTAACACACTAACTGTAGCACTTACATTGGACTTATAATGGTTCTTATCTACAGCGAGTTGTACATCGGCTTTCTTGTTTCTTGTTCTTCTGAGTTTGTGTCCTTATGGTTGAAATGTTCTTATTGTAAGTCGCTTTGGATAAAAGCGTCAGATAAGTGATGTAATGTGATGAATACAGCAAAGAAGTGGTCCTACCTGAGCACATTGATGCAGCCGTTGCCATTGGTGAGGAAGAACATGTCATTGTCGTTGTTCCAGGAGATCTCGTTCACCTCAAACTTGAACTGCTCCTCAGCTCTGGATCGGTGCGTCTTGGCGTCGATGAAGGTCACCACGTCGTCCTTGTTGCCCACAGCGATGGTCTGCCCGTCGGGGCTCCAGCAGATGTTGATGTTCTCCCCTGAAAGCAGAGGACAGATGATGACCGACAGCTGTTTGCGGGTGCTCTCCCTCCAGAAGGGGCGGGACCCACCTTTGGTGTTGACGGTGGCGATGCATTTGGTGGTGCGGACGTCCCATATGCGGATGGTCTTGTCCCCGGAAGCCGTGACAAAGAGGTCCGGGTTGGTGGGATGCCAGCAGAGCTGATCCACGCTGTCACTGTGGCCTCTGTAGTTGTTCTCCTTCACCTGAAGAACAGAGCTGCCATCAGTAAGCTGCTTGTTACACTAACAGAATGCTGGGTAAACGTGTAAACGTGCTTATTTCAGGACGAGGTAGTGTGAAGTGTGCACATATATTCCTCATTAGGAAAACACTGAATTCTGGAGGATTATTCGTTTCTTAAAAGAACCACATTAGAGGGCTACTGCACGAAACCAGTATATGGGATTAATCCGGGATATAAATGATCCTGGATGAATTTAGCTTTGACTTGGTTGCACGAAAGCAGGTTGAATTAAAGCCACCCAAGTAGCCGTGCTGATTTATTCTCTGCAGCTAGCCTCTTCATTTCTGCATCAGTAAATCTGGGATCGATACCGTGGTCTATTAAAGAAAGGCGTGGTCGCACACCTGGATTGATTTAGCTCCTCCTTCTCGGCAAACCGATGCAACCGATTAAGATCACACACAGTCAAGCTGCGCCTTTTCACTTGTCCTGGATTTCTTTATTCTACTTTTGTGCAACGAACAATGTGGAACGCTGAACAAACCCTTTCATAACCGGCACGTGTCCACAACAAGATGGCGTCAGAAAAAAAGAAAAGGCTCCTTTAAACACCAATACACTTATGTGTTCACAGTGTGATGCACGCAACCACACTGTCAAGTCACACTGTCTGTAAAGTTGTGAAATAACATGTCACTGTCGTCGGAACCATGGAGATTATATATATATATACACATACATATATATACACACATATACACACACACATACATATATATATATATATATATATATATATATATATATATATACACACACACACATTTAAAGGCTAGATGTCTCGTCCGCGTTGCCGGCCAACGGAATCGAACGTCCGCACATGGCGGCCATCTTGGCACAGGCAGCTCGCTCAGCCATAACGTTGTGTTGGTAGTGGTACGTCTACTTTTTAAAATAACCATAACTCAATTTCCAACCGATTTTAAAGTTAGGTATGTTAGTTTTTATAAATGTCATATACATCAAGAAATGCTGCACGGTGAAATCCCCCACAGAGATGTATTTATGACACTGCACTTATGAATAATTATACCCATGGGTTTTCATACGAAAATTATATTAAACAGAATATTATTTATAAGTACGCAATATCATAAACTACATCTCTGACGTTTATAACAAACCAAACAGTTTGACAATTGGTTGAAAATTGAGCTAGTAGTTATTATTTAAAAGTACAAGTACCACTGACAATACAATGTTGTCGGTGAGCGAGTTGCCTGCGGCAAGATGGCCGCCATGTGCGGACGTTCTACACTCCGCCGTAAGACATCTAGCCTTTATATATATATATGGTCTGAACAACAGCTAGTTCCCCGAGACAAGGCTAACGTTTGCGTGCTAGCAGGACGCGCTCGTACTCACCAGGCGGTCCTTCTCGAGGACAAACACGCTCGCGGTCTTATCAAAAGAACCGGAAGCGAGCCTCCTGCCGTCGCAGCTCCACGCCACGGAGTGCACCTTGGCCGTGTGCGCCGGGAACTCCCGGCTCTTGTTGTTGCTCCTAAAGCTCTCTTGCATCTCCTGGTAATACCGCGACGCCATCTTGCTCTGCGCTGCTTCTTCTTTGCCTTCGTTTGTTGAGGTTTGTGGGCGGAGGCTGAAATGGCGCCACCAGCTGGTGGGGAGTGTTGTTTACACCACCCAAGTAAATAACAAACATTCAAATAAAAATACATTTTAAACTATATAAATGAACGCCTTACATTGTTTGGGTACAGATAAAAGATCTTTAACAAATCTTTATTCATTATTATATAATCTTTTTATTTTTAAATAGTTGAATCCTAGCATTCTTATTTATTTGTTTATTCTTTGCATTGTAGACAATTGCAAAGTATTGACCCCAACATTTTACTCCATCATTCTGTCTTTTTATTTATTGAAAAAAATACAAACTTCTTCTATTTTCGAGACCTACATTTCTTGGTTGATTTTCTTCTAAATTTTACACAATATCTTTTTGATTATGGTGTTTCTTTTTTCTTTAAGCACCAAAACTATTAAACTAGTTGACTTCATCAGTCAGTAAAGCTCCTCCTAAATATTGTGTTGTTAAATGGTAAATGGTCAAAGGTGTTTATTACCTTTGTTGTGTGAATACTTAATTATGCTTGTTGGGATCTAGTTATTTTGTCTGTAACACGATAGACTAAAAAGGTTTCACTGAAAGAAAAAAAGAGAAATCGTCAAAATGTTCTTCAAATTCTTTTTTGGGTTTGTGACAAGAGAAAAACCTCAATAACTATCACCATAAATATTAAATATATATTTTTTATTTAACTTAACTTTAACTTTTAGGTCCTACAAACTTCAGATATTTATCGTCAAAGAAAGACACAGTTTTCTTTCACCCATTTATTTCCAGTGATGCTAAAATGAAAATCCATCTATTTTTAAAATCCCAAACATACCAAATAAATATCGTACTTAAATATAACTCATAACCAAAATTTCAGCTGATCTTCAGCTGGTCTGAAAAACAAAAATGTGCCTTTATGTAATTGCATAATGTTTAACATAGTCCTAATTTTGATCATATATATATATATGTATGTATGTATATATATATATACATGCATACATATATATATGTATGCAGAGAACCCATGCATATATATGCATGGGTTCTCTGCGGTACTCCGGCTTCCTCCCACAGTCCAAAGACATGCTCTGGGGATCAGGTTCATCGGTGACTCTAAATCACGTGTAGGTGTGTGAATGGTTGTTTGTCTCCGTGTAGCCCTGCGATTGGCTGGCGACCGGTCCAGGGTGGACCCCGTCTATCGCTCAAAGTTGCTGGGATTGACTCCAACCCCCCGAAACCCTGGATAAGTGGCTTTGAAGATAGATGGATGGATATACCCTACAAAATATAAGCTCAATGAATGCACTGTGAGATCAGAAAAGGGAGCACAGTGCAGGAAGACACCAGTGGAGAGAAACGTATCTTCAGTATCATCAGGATTCACCGGTAGACGGAGAACACGAGCACCACGTTCCTCCTAAAGATCTACTTTATTTTGAAAGAGACTTCTCGTCCCTGAGAACGTTCCTGTTGGATGTGTTAGGAGACCTCCTGAGAAGAACAAGGACACACTAGAGAACCAAGAGATGGTTCATCCTTCAACCTAGCGGTCTCATTCTATTGGACCGAATGTAACTGGTCCAGACCTCTGGGTGTCTAGACCGGTACCATGTGGTATATGGCTAAATAGCACTTGCTAACTGCTTAGCGCAGTTTGTAACATTGGTATCTCCAAAAAAAAGATGGGTGCCATTACAAATTAATACAATTTTTTCAGCCTATTACACAAACACAGAATGAAGCAAAGATCACACATTGATTATTATCATGGATTATAGATTACTAAGGTGAACAGAGGGTGATGATGATGATGATGATGATGATGATGGTGTGGTGTTCCTTTCACCCATTGGCTCTATTGATTATATTTAACTTTATAATCTTTTTAGTTTTTACTTTGATTTCAATAAACAAGGGCAGAATATGTCACTTTAAAGTTACTATGATCATCTTTTATGTTGTGGTGATTATAGCGCCCCCTGTGGTCTGTAGTGGTAGTGTCTTTTAGACAAGCTCTAGTTCTACTGCCGCAGGGTCTCACAGACTGACCCCCAGTCCTGGTTCTGGTCCTCCCGGGCCTCCCTTCCCTCAAACGTATCCAGAACCAAGTCCTGGGTCTCCAAAGAGGGAGAGGTCTGTTCCTGGAGAAGGACATCTCCTCCTTTGTCTGGAGCTCCATCAGATGGACCACGGCTGCGGTGGAGCCTCCACCATCGGGCCTCCACCTTCTTTGTGGAAGGAGATCCTGGTGAACCTGGATGATGTCTGACCCGGTGGCACTGATGATCATGAAGAACTCTATAGAACCATCTTCTCTCATCAGTCACGAGGGACGCTATCGTAAGGAGCCAAACAGAGCAAAGCGTCTCAGCTGCTCATCTAAAACGTTTCACAGTGAGTTGAGTCTGTTACTGGTCGTGATCCCCAGAGGACGAACCCTTTTCACTAAATGGCATCAGAAGTTTCTAAATGTAAAGATCTTAGGAGGAGGAAGACAAAGTGGAAGAGTAAGGGGAGGAGTAGGAGGAGGAAGAGGAGAAAGACGAAGAGGAGGAGCTGTGGGAAGAAGAGGAGGAGAAAGACGAAGAGGAGGAGCTGTGGGAAGAAGAGGAGGAGAAAGACGAAGAGGAGGAGCTGTGGGAAGAGGAAGAGGAGGAGCTGTGGGAAGAAGAGGAGGAGAAAGACGAAGAGGAGGAGCTGTGGGAAGAGGAAGAGGAGGAGCTGTGGGAAGAGGAGGAGGAGAAAGAGGAAGAGGAGGAGCTGTGGGAAGAAGAGGAGGAGAAAGACGAAGAGGAGGAGCTGTGGGAAGAGGAAGAGAGGAGCTGTGGGAAGAGGAGGAGGAGAAGAGGAAGAGGAGGAGCTGTGGGAAGAGGAAGAGGAGGAGGAGAAAGAGGAAGAGGAGGAGCTGTGGGAAGAGGAGGAGGAGAAAGAGGAAGAGGAGGAGCTGTGGGAAGAGGAAGAGGAGGAGCTGTGGGAAGAGGAGGAGGAGAAAGAGGAAGAGGAGGAGCTGTGGGAAGAGGAGGAGGAGAAAGAGGAAGAGGAGCAGGAGGAAGACAAAGACGAGGAGGAGGTGCATTCGTTCAGACGTATTTTAGATGTAAGTGTTTTCACAATAATAAAGCTCAGTGCAAAGACAGAGCTGATAATCAGCTGATCGACCGATGCTCTAATAGATCGTCTCTGATCGATAACTTCAGGTTTCAGTCTGATTCACACCTTCGATACCAGTGGGTGTCAGATCAATCAGAGGAGAACATGCAAACTATGAAGACATTGATCTTTGATAGAACTTGTTGTTTGATAGTCTCCATGACGACGGAAGACAGGACAGGTGAGGGGGGGGGGGGCTTCGTGATAACGACCTTTGACCTCTGACTTCCACTCCTTCAGCGTGTCAGAGATGAGAGGATCACACAGCCATAGAACAGCTCTGGTTTGGTCCGATGAGCGACCAGTCGGACCCGGATGACATCACTCCCCCGTCGGCCAATGGCTGATCACAAGATTCAGACGTCCCTCTAGCACTCTCCCCCTTCAGCGGGTTGGACCCAGTTTGTCTGTACGAGCGTCCCCGCCGCACTGTGGGGAGGGAGACACGCAGAGGTCAGGGGTCAGAGGTCAGAGGTCTGAGGGCGTAGGTGCTGGTTCAGTTCCCACCTGTTGGTGCAGCCATTGCTTAGAGACTCGTTCTCTGTCAGAGAGCTGCAGGACCTCCTCTCCTGCCAGGAACCAACTCTGGGCTCTCTGCCCGTCTCAGAGCTCCTCCTCCGGGCCACCACAGGTCCCGGCCCGGACCCACGTCGCTCCGGGCCGACCTGGGCCCCGGCACCGGAGGGGACGCTCAGGCCCCCCGCTACCGAGTCGCTGCTGGCGGGTCTCCCATTCAGGCTGTCGGAGGACGATACGTGGCTCATCTGACCATCATCTGGAAGACAAAACCAGAACCGGGTCAGTGATGGATGGATGCATGTTAGTCACTGATGGGTGTCACTGTGCACGGTAGCGTCCGGCCCTGCTGTGCTTTCAGCGGAAAGGAGTAGTGTGGAGGTAAAGTTCGTATTTTACTTGATACTGTACTCATGTCATCTCAGCTGGACGTTGTATGAAAGATCGAAAACCTTTACCCGAAACATGACTCAGTGTCTTTAGTTTGGACCCGTTACCTCCGGCTTCTCCCGCCTTGTTGCGTCGGCGCCTCAGGATGACCTCCAGCTCGCTGTCCTTCTTCCCTGGTTGCGAGGTTCCGGCCTCCTGAGAACCTTGGCTGGGGCTCCTCTTCACTGTCTCCTGGAGAACACAAGGTACACTGCAGCAAACTCTAAATGGACCATAGTTCACAAATGAACATCACGCTGTATTGAAGAGGACTTAAAACTAGAGACCATGAACTCATGTTTACAATGTTTACTGAGGGAATAAATCAAGAGAAGTAGAGTCATTTTCTCATAGACTCCTATGGGAGTTGAGGAGTCGCCCCCTGCTGGTCACTACAGAGAATGCAGCTTTAACTCATGAAGCTTTGGGTTTCTGCTGCTGAATTGTCCTTTTTTTTTTACCAGCATGCCTTTCAGCTCCTCCATGGCGCTCTCCTGTGGTTTCTCCTCACAGACTGGAGGCGGCTGCAGATAAAAACACACGCGTGATACAACGTCAGTTACAGGATTTTAAAGTGATGTGAGTTGATGGAATTTGAAAGGTCTGCAATATGTGTGTGTGTGTGGGGGGGAAGGGGGGGGGGGGCAGTGACCTTACATCATGCAAACATCCATAAACTGACAGGAGTGAGAGTGAAAAACTGAATCACAGTTAAAGAAACATGTGTGGACTCCTTATTTGAGGTAAACAACGTCAGGAATCAGGAATCAGGAATCAGGAAACATTTATTGGCCAAAATATGTCAAACATACAAGGAATTTGTCTTGGCGGTTAGTGCGCGACAGTAGACAGACAAGACAACAGTGCACAGGTAATAAAATAAGTGGAATGAAATGCTAATGCAATGGGTTAGTAAGAATAAGGCTAAGGCTATGGGTTAGTAAAAAAACAAGGGAATAAAGTTAAACAAATTTTAAATATTAAAAAGTTAAAAAGAAAAGTATTAAGCATAAAGTGCACTAACAAACAAGTAACAGACAAGAGACAAAGTGACAAGTGACAAAGTGATGAATTGCAGTTAAAGTGGCATGTGCAGTGTGAGGGGGAGTGACCGGTGGAATGTTATAGTCAGTCAGTGGGGGACCGGGCTCTGTTGATGAGCCCGACTGCCGACGGGAAGAAACTGTTCGTGTGGCGGGAGGTCGTAGTCCTGATGGACCTCAGCCTCCTGCCAGATGGAAGGGGCACAAACAGTTTATGTCCGGGGTGGGAGGGGTCGGCCGCGATCTTTTTAGCTCGCTTCAGAGACCTGGAAGCGAACAAGTCCTCCAGGGACGGCAGATTGCAGCCGATCACCCTCTCTGCAGAGCGGATGACACGCTGCAGCCTGCCCTTGTCCTTGGCTGTGGCTGCAGCGTACCAGACGGTGATGGAGGAGCAGAGGATGGACTCGATGATGGCCGTGTAGAAGTGGACCATCATCGCCTTTGGCAGGTTGAGTTTCTTCAGCTGCCTCAGGAAGAACAACCTCTGCTGAGCCTTCTTGGTGATGGAGCTGATGTTCAGCTCCCACTTGAGGTCCTGGGTGATGATGGAGCCCAGGAAACGGAAGGAATCCACAATAGTGACGGGGGAGTCACACAGGGTGATGGGGGAGGTTGGGGCTCTGTTCCGCCGGAAATCCACAACCATCTCCACTGTCTTTAGAGCGTTGAGCTCCAGGTTGTTCTGGCTGCACCACGACACCAGATGGTCAGACTCCCACCTGTAGGCGGACTCGTCCCCACCAGAGATTAGTCCAATGAGGGTGGTGTCATCCGCAAACTTCAGGAGCTTGACGGACTGGTGGCTGGAGGTGCAGCTGTTGGTGTACAGGGAGAAGAGCAGAGGGGAAAGAACGCAGCCTTGGGGGGAACCGGTGCTGATGGTCCGAGAGGCTGAGACATGTTTCCCCAGCTTCACGTGCTGCTTCCTGTCAGACAGGAAGTCTGTGATCCACTTGCAGGTGGAGTCGGGCACGTGCAGCTGGGAGAGTTTGTCCTGCAGCAGAGACGGGATGATAGTGTTAAAAGCAGAGCTGAAGTCCACAAACAGGATCCTGGCGTAGGTTCCTGGGGAGTCCAGATGCTGGAGGATGTAGTGGAGGGCCATGTTGACAGCATCGTCCACAGACCTGTTGGCTCTGTAGGCGAACTGCAGGGGGTCCAGGAGGGGGTCGGTGAGGGACTTCAGGTGGGACAGGACTAGCCGTTCAAAAGACTTCATGACTACAGAGGTCAGGGCGACGGGCCTGTAGTCATTGAGTCCTGTGATCCTGGGCTTCTTGGGGACAGGGATGATGGTGGAGGCCTTGAAGCAGGCTGGTACGTGGCATGTCTCCAGGGAGGTGTTGAAGATGTCAGTGAACACCGGAGACAGCTGGTCAGCACAATGCTTCAGGGAGTGAGGGGAAACGGAGTCCGGACCGGCTGCCTTACGGGGATT